GGCTAAGTGGATTTCCCATAGCTACACCATCTAATTGTCGTTAAAGAGTGTTGTCAAACTGGAATTGCACACCCATGGTACACATTAGGAGTAGGCGTTTAAATCCGACTCTTTGGGTAGAAGAAGATCAAACTGCTAATATATGATCTCAATAGTTCCATTGATTGGGATCATTGCGAACAAAGTTGCATCTAATGACGCCATGAACTTATGTGAAACGTTCATGTGATTCACACTTTCGGCGAAACGAAATGAGTCTTTCATTGTGTGCATGGCGAGCCGTTGGCGGATGGGTTCCAACTTCTTCGCAAGCCAACGAGTACCCTTATTTTGGGTTGAATTGATCATCGAAAGCATAGGTCTCAAGGCGACTTGTTTTTTATGTGTCTTTTGAAGACTATACATGTGAAGCAAACGAGACCCTCGTGGTTTTAAATCACCGTAAGTATTGTTGTCAATCAATTTCTTCTTTAGAAAATCTCGACTTATGTTTCAAGCACTGTCTCATTTGGTGAATTTTTTCAAAGCGTATTCCTAGTGTATTTGTCAAATGATTTTTACCAAAGATTCTACCATTTACATTCAATGTACAATTTTTTCAATCATTTTATCTCTTCTTCAATTTTGTTTTTAATGAACTTAATGTTCATTCTAAGTAGTATTTAAATTCCTATGAAAGTTTATATTCGATATGCGTTAGCTAGCCGTATGACGATAAATAACTCTGTTTGCAACAGATATTCAGTTCACTTTTGCACATCATTTTATTTCACGTAGAATGAACCTGTATAAATTTTGTAATAGTTCGAAAATGTGCTCCTCTTGCAACTATTAGTCTATCCTAATAGAGCTCTCCAGCTTCTAATAATACATTCCGTATTCACATTTTAATTAACAGTGATTATTCTGTTCACTTGGTTTTAATTTATCCCGTACCCTCCTATGAGATATAAAAAGTATGAATCTGGGTTGCCACTGTCACTGTGTTAAACACCTCCGCAGTTGTCAGTCTGATGGTTTACCTACTTAGGATACAAAACTTAGCGGATTCTAATTCCCATATGGAGTTGTGGAGGTATTCAGCTAAATCTTATTTGAATGAGTGATAGATGACTGTTTATTTTCATTGGACACTAGTAACTAGTGTGACGTGTCTAGTCCTCTGTTTGGTTCAGAGTGAATTCTGTCAGTCAGGTTTGCTATGTGGCCACCATTATAGGTAGCTCGCCATCACGGTGGATATTGGTTTGATGATATTAGATAGCTGGAGGCAATCGGTAGGAAGTCTTCCAACGAGGTTTCGTGATAGTTGACACTCACTAGTCAGCAAGACGTATCTGAAACCTTGAAGGAGCTTACATCCCTTCTGACGAGTGCCAAGTAGCACGAAACCTAGGCCCAAGGCTTCCTTCCGATCGCCTCCAATTATCTAATATCATCAGATGAATGTTTATTCATCATCAAACTTTCTATCAATTCATCTAAAACCTTTCTGTCATAGCCATTTTCGTTCGTGAAAAATCCCCATTTGAACATTAATAGAGAGAAGACCAGTAGCTTGGCGAAGAGTCTGTTTTCGGCGATCACAAATATATGTGAGTTATTCTGTAAGCATGTATACATTAAATTTTTCAGACAAAAATACAATTGGCTGTGGTTATTCTAACTAAACAAGTGGAAATTAGTAAGTTTTTGGGGAAGTTGCGTAATACAAAAGCGGTTAAGAAAATTGGTTGTTAATGAAACCAGTGTATTAACAAAGGTGATGAGTTGTAACAAGCAGTTTTTAAAAAGGAGTTACGTAATGATATGAATAGTTTGATGATTGAGTTGTACTCACGATACACACAGGAACAAAGTGGAGAATAAGAAATTACGTTCTAAATGAGTTCTAAATGAATACATGAACTATAAGCAATTTGAGAAACAGGCGAACAAACAAAATGAAGTCATCAAAAATCAACAAAGTTGTTACCATGATAATAAAAGCGGTTGAGTAACTCTCTTTTGTATTCACAGCTCCGGTTTTTCTAAGTAAATGGGCAAAGAATGCGAAACTGTATTGCTTTTGGCAGGTTATTCTTGACTCTGCAGATTACTGTGAAGCAGGAGGCATTTGTTGAGATTAAATGACCAGTGGTGACGAGATTTTCGATTATTGCACTCTGTTTTCCGTTCGTTATTGATCACCACTCCAATGGATTTAGTGTAATCTCGAAATCTAAAGCTATTTCAGACACTGTAAACGACAAAGAACACCTCCTTGTAAAAAATTATATTTGTAAAATCTCAGCGGTATTGAAATGAGTAATTCCAAGGTTTCGTTCGGCAATCTGGTCCGAACAACTGCTTGTACTGAAAATTTAATATTAATTTTTGGGAACTACTTTGTAGGGATTGTATTTGTTTTAGGTTAGACTACGGATTGATATCAGTTAGAGAACCATTGAAAACCAGGGAGTACTGAATAGCTGTTTCAGTCAAGTTCGGTACTCACTGGCAGCACCCGCCCACTGGGTTTCAAACCCAGAACCTTCCATTTACAAGGCAAGCTTGTATAAGATTCAGCTACTCCGACTCGATTCATCTGATGCTCGCTAGTGACTGGCAACAGGACGAGGTTACCTGCAGTTCTAGTGAGAAGTCGTGACCAGTAAGGTTCATTCAATAGGGAGTTAGGACGAATTTCCCGCCAGTGACATTGGTTGGTGGTCGTGCCGAAATCACGAGCTTGATGAATTTTAATTCATGTGACATTGAATAGGGTCCAAGTGGCTGAATGCTATACGAGCTTACCTTGTAACCGGAAGGTTTTGGGTTCAAAAACTGCCGATGAATCCCAAATTAGATTGGATTATCTGACTACGGGATTACCAATAACAAATCAACTAACTATTCATCATTGCACCACAATTATTTTAAAATTCTAATAGATTTATTATTGTGGTTTCATTTCCCATCCTAATAAATACTTTATAACAACACTGAAACTCCACATAAGGAAAGCATCATAAAGGTGTAGAATATTCATTTCTGAAGATGTTGCTTATGTGATAAGATGGATGTACATTTAACTATACTGCCCACTTATAAAAGGTTTATTTCCTCATGAGTTATCCTACTGCTGAAACCAAATTATTAATGGAATTACCTTGCTGGCAGTTCTATCTCAGTCGAGTATTATAACGTAGTCAGTGACTACAGGTATTTACACCACTATTCATTACATCTGGTAATATGTGCTAAGAAACAGTGCTGAAGAAGACATGGCTCTCAGTAATGCGTCTAATTGTAACTCCCCATTGTTTATCTATCACCACTTGGAAATTTATATCAACTTAAGGCGACATGCTATTCAACTACCTAATAAACCTGCCGGAAACTCTTCAAAAGAAAGCCTTGTTCTTCCCTCAGTACTTCACCTGGTCAATCGTAATTTGAATACCTTAATATTAAAGTGACTGCCTCAGGTTTTGATTGACACATGTTGGAAGCGCAAAAGGAATGTGACTTTCCACTGGACGGAGAGGAACTAATAAACAGGTAGAAAATCTTAATTATGGGTTCCTATCAGTTCCACGTTCATTAGGGATTAAAGTATAATGTTGAATATTATCCGCCCTTTTTATCTTTGTACATATTCTCAAAGAGAAGATAGGTTTCTCAGTACGACTGAACTTTTAGAACTTTTTAGATGATTAGCTTAATTCATCCTGTTTGTTTAAGGAGCAGATAGTGAAAATATGGTTTGTTACTAATCTTCGTGTATTCGAGTAATGAACTGATATCTAGAGTTGGAGTAAAGGCTTAACAATGCGATTTCAACCATCGACCTTCATCCTGATTTCTATTTCTTGAATTATACCATGGATCGTTTAGAATTTTTTAATCCACTCACCACTGCATCATATGGATATTAATCAGCGACTGTAATAAGATCTTAGATAATCTTACGATATTTGAATAGTAGTGCAATTATTCACTTAATTTTTATAAAATCTTTTCTTAACAGTTTAATGAGAAGAGTGAAAAAAAGTTTAATATTCTGGTGTTGGTTTACAGGGATTTGATGAGCTTCTGGACCATTAAGCCACTGGGCCTCGCCGATCCAATGGCCAGCCGACGAATTCCAACTTCTGCTAATTGATAATATAGTGCCACCACTGGCTAGTGTTATCGGAATGTATCTATCCCGACACCTGACCTACCGTACCCCACTGGTCACGACTTTTCACTAGAACCCACGTAACCAACTACCTGAATAGGGCCAGTGGCTAGTGAGCATCAGATAGGTAGTTACCTGGAGTTCTAGTGAGAAGTCGTGACAAGTGAGGCATAGCAGGTCGGGTGTGAGGACAAATACTCGCCAGCTATGACATTGGCTAGTGGTCACGCTATGTTGTGAATCCACAGAAGTTAGAACTCATGCACTGGCCACTGGATCGGCGAGTTCCAGTGGCTTAATGGTCTACGAGCTCACTGGCCTTGTACACAGGAGATCCTGGGTCCAAACCCTGGCGTTGGATGCATACTGATGAAGAGTCGCAAGCCAGTGAGAAGAAACAGCTGTCCAGTAGTCTCAGGTGGTTTTCTAGTGTTTCTCTAACCAATGTCAACTGATGATGAAATCCAATAACCAAAAAATAAGTTTGTCTTCCCTATAATGTGGAGGTATAAGTTGAAAACTTAAATTCCCTGAGCAAGTAAGTGTACTAAAAGTGAAGAGTGCTTTCTTTTTTCTTCTTTGAGTGTGTGAGACACACACACAATCAAAATTCATACACACACATACAGTCAATGTAACACCAAATCCACCAACCAAATTATAAAAATTTCATGTTACGCATGATTTACTTCTTCACTTTGACACTTTAATAAACAAGTTACCTTAAAAATGTTGAGATTATTGCTTATTTTAAGTGGACAATGTGTGAATATCACGCACAAATACGTGTATAAATACTTACAAGACATACATTTATATATATGCGTAACTAAATCACGTGTCGTCATATTTCAACTCACAAACCACTCAATGATATATATATATAGCACCACTAATAACTAAACCAATAGAAATACAATTTAATTATAGTCTGAGATCGATTGAGGTCAATTAAACTTCTTTGTTATTATTATTTTTTTAAATAGTAAAAATAACTAAGAGCAGATTAGTGTTCTTCTGTTACACTAACTACTAGTAGTAACACGTCTTTATCATCCATTCTTGTGAATAACTTTAATTATTGATTACAATGATACGTAATACCTATAGTCAACCTCTATTGATTTAATTCTTTTATCTATTGCAATAAGATTTATTTGTACATATATATCTTATATCAAATGATGTCAATTGGACAGTTACGTATATCCCGATTAAATCCTGAATTCACATCTAATTCTAAACGTTATAAAGTAAGTCACAAATAATGTATTTTCTACATTTCTTTTTCGTTACTTGTTATACCTGTTTCTTATAATATGAATTCCAATTTTGGAAAGGCTATCATAAAACCACGAAAACGAATTAAAACTGTATACAGAAGTTATGACAGTCATTAAGAATTTTAAGGGAAATAACTCAATCTAGCACCTGATAATGTGGCTACACATTTCATCCTCTTTGTTCCTTTACGTTCCCAGTGGAAATAAGGGCTTCAACCTAGAGTCTTGAAGTTTCCTTATCAATTGCGTTTATTTTTACGGGATGCAGTTGCTAGACTCATACCCAACCCAAACTTCCTTCTTTACCTGTCTTTTTACTGGTTTAGCGAGGTTTGGGAATGCATCAGCCGGGGATCAGATCCTGAACCAGGTGAAGCGTGGTCGGCTACCATCCTACTACTGTGCCACCGACGCATGCTATTGCATACACAATTGTTAAACGTTAGTTAACACATGACGATATCTCACATCAATGGATAGTGGTTACTAGGCAGATTGATTTGCAAGTTCATCCATGTGACTAGCCGGAATTTGGATGGTTTGAAGTGATGAGGCCTTCGGAGATGAGTTAAATCAGGTACACAGAAGAAGATCTCAACCTTAAACGATCGAAACGGCCTCTCGTATTTGAATAACTTTGATCTGGCCAGCAAGCACTATCGATTCAAACGAGTCGTGTCCAACTACTCACCCCAAACAATAAGTAGTATATAGCATCATGCAGTTTTGGTTACTTTCAAGATTTCCATTTATGAGATCAAGCAGAGATCAAAGCAAACTGTAATGAAACTTCCGTCATCGTGTTTCCTAACAAACGACATTTTATATCCTATAAACTGTCGAAAACAAGTAATTTTTGTAATTAACCTCCTTAATATTTGACAGAAGACAACAACAGTAATATTGCACACTGATCTGGTAGAATTATGCCGGGTCTCACGTTTAGTGAGATACTACAATGACCACAACTCAATGAACCATGAAAGTTATATTCATCATTAACGTGTTTGTAGCCCGACGTACTAACTCCGATCATTAATTTATAAACTCTGTTTCAAGTAACAGCACCTTTAAGAAGAAAGTTAGACTTTCAAATGAGGATTATTGTAAAAATTTATCATTTCCATAAAGTCCATCAATGCAGAAAAGAGCGTGTAAGTTAAACTACTGAATTCTGATAAACGTCTGTAGGTAAGATTAGGTAAACTCTTTTGAAACACCTTATACTTGTAGCTAAAAGTTGGAAACCAGCAAATCCAACCTGTAAACTTATTGACTCTCAATATTAAGTCGTATCTATTGTTTCTATTTTTCCAACCTATCAAACTTTGAATATAAAGCTCGTGTTTTATACAGGGTATACATGCAAAACAACTACCACTACACAGCAACGGCTGTCATGCTTTGGTTCACACTATTTACCGAAGCCACTTTATTAGTTTTAAGAGAAACTTATAAAATTCGTGTAGCAATCTAAGTGTGACCACCTGACTAAAAACAACTAATTGTGTAGGAATGAAACACGACAGTTCTGATGCAACTGAAGCCTACAAATTGATGTAAAATATCCCACTGTTTTAACTCCTTTACGTTTCCTGTGAAGCATCAAGCTTCAAGGTAGAAGCTTGAAGCTTCGGTAGCAGTGGCGTTTATTTTTACGGGATGCAGCTGCTAGCCTCATGCCCAACCCAAACTTCTCTCTTTACCTGTCTTTTTACTGGTTTGGCGAGGTTTGGGAGTGCATCAGCCGGGGATCGAACCGCGGACCACATGAAGTGTGGTCGGCTAGCATCCTACTGCTGTGCCACCGACACACAAAATATCCCACTGATTGACATTAAATCGTTGGAAATAAACAAAATCATTTTAAATTCTTTTCTAATATTTGAAAAGAATATTTTTATTGAGCTGTTTCAGTTCCCATCATCCTTATTGTTTAGCAAAAGTGAAACAGCTTTGAATATTTACAACATGGGAATGCAGCAGCTGCAGTTGTGTAATTATTAAGGAAAAATAAATTTCGAGATTTAATGAAACATGACAGTGTGTGACAATATACAAGAATTAGTTTGTTGGGATTTAATTTGTTTAAAGTTTGACCATGGATTCATGTCAGTTAGCGAAGTAGCTACTCGACGAAGCTAAGTTCTAGTGAAAAGCCATAACCAGTGGGGTTTACCCCGCTGAACGGGAGGATATATACTCGCCAGTAACATTAGTTGGTGGTCGTGCTAAAATCCCTAACTGGTAGAAGTCAGAATTCACCGGCCATCTAGTTGTGTCCTGGTGGCTAAATGGTCTGCGAGCTTGCCTTGTGGACGAAATATCCTGGTTTTGAGCCTCGGTGGGTGTGTACTGTCGATGAGTTCCCAGCTGGAACGGAACAACTGTCCGGTATTCTAACTGATATCAATCCGGAGGCAATCTTGAAACTATACAAGAACTTGTTATGGTGGTCAAAATATTGACTAAACTGATATCCTTAGCTTTACACTTGGGGATATATAATCTGTGTCGTCTACAATCAGAAACTAGTAGTTTTAAGACATTATTGGATAGGATTTAGAAATCACCAACGTCGGCATTCCATCCGCTAACTGAGAAGTAGAGTAATCGTCTTGTAATATGTGGTAAGCTTATGCTAGATTCCTAATGAGTGTATACTGTCGAAAAGCTCCAAATTGGGACAAAACAGCTATCCGATATTCCATGATTAGAATGTTATTTTTAAGAATCTCTAATCGATTGTTGATGAAATCCACACTGGAATTATCGACTTGCATCTGATGGGTCATGTCTTAAGAGTATGTACGCATTTTCTTCTCATTATAAATTGGAAGAGAACGCCATACCAATGAATAACACCCATAACAAACAACAATAATAATTTATACTATTAATTATTATTGTTGTTATAATTATCACATAACCTTTCATTTATTAATGTGTAAGTGAAATAAGTAGTGAAGTAAATTCAATAAGTGTAAATAATTTTGGTTGGAGGATTTCATCATAGGGCCAGTCACTAGTTAGCATCTCATTGATATTCAAGTGTTGGTTTGCACGGATTTGATTGGTTGGTTACAGGATTTCATCATAAGCTGACATCGGTTAGTTGTGACCAGTAGGGTACAGTAGGCCGGGCGTGAGGACAAATAATCAGCGAAGAAATTAGCTAGTGGTCGCGCTACATCATGAATTGGTAGAAGTTGGAATTCACGCACTGGTCATTGGACCGATGGGTCCCACTAACTTAATGGTCTACGAGCTTGCCTAGTAACCAAAAGGTTCTGGGTTCGAACCCTGGCGGTGGGTGCCCAGTGATGAGGAGTTCCAAAGTAGGGCAAAACAGCTATCCAGTTCTCCCTGGTGGTTTTCCAATAATTCCCTAACCGATGTCAGCTCATAATTTAATCCTCGAACCAATCGGAAAAGAATTCCCCACGGAACCAATACTAAGAAATATAAATAATTTTGTTGAGATATGAGCTAATTACGGAAAATCTCTGAAGTAATGAACTCTTATTGGTGGAAGATAAGGGATACTTGCCATCGGTAGACAATTTTTGTTCTTCGCAGATCTGTTTTGCAGTAATATCTTTACTTTCAACTATCGGGCTGTAGTGATTTGTATAACTTCAGTGTAGAATGCTTCAGAAAGTGGCATCAGATACAGGACCACTGAGCAATGGACAATTATTTCGCCTTAGTTGGGTAGTCTTCGTCAGGACACCCCATGTCCCCATCAGGGAACTCATTCAAAACCTTCCAACTTTCTCAAGTTCCCGCAAGAGCAAGAATGACACCGGTGAACGGTTTTTCACGCACGAGAATAACTTGACCTAAAAATAAGAAGCAAACATATTGTAGGATATATCGCTTAGGGATTAAACAGGGTGATTATTATTGCACTTGGATGTACTATGCAAAGAAAAAACAACAACCAGGGGCTTTTAATACTCTAATCGCAGTTTAAAATGGTGCCAATCGACACAGTGGGACTATCCATTCTAAGATATGGGTATCGCGACTATCAAAACTGTTAAGAGATAGGATAATGACCATTTATCGGTAATACCCTAACAAAATACTAAGTTAAATCATATTTATATCAGGTACTGATCTCTACCAAATCAATAAAATGCCCATAGAGTTAATACTTAAGGAATCTGTTATAATTTATTCTGCTGAGACATTTAGGTTTCAGACTTATTGTTTGAGGACAGAAGGCTTGGAACTTATATTAATCCTTTTCTAGTAAATTTTTGTGCTTGTCCAAACCCTTCTTGAATGAATCAGTGGAGGCTGCAGACACCACTTCTTCTGGGAGTCGGTTCCAGGAATTTATGACCAGTACTCAACAGCAGTATGGTTTCTTCTTGGCTTTTGAAATCTCCTGCTATGTCCTCTAAGGTGTTCTGACCTGGTAGGAAGGAAAAGAGAGAATGGGCCAGGTCCGTAGTCATTATCTGAAATTTCAAACATTGTAATTAGATCTTCTTTCTGCCTATGGTATGATAGGAAGAAGAGGTTTAAACTGTCTAGTCTTTCCTCGTATGACAAATTAGCCATTTCGAGAATCATAAGTGTTGTCTTCCTTTGAACCTTTTCTAGAATATGTGAGTCCCCTTAAAGACAGTGACTGGCTGTCAAGATACAGTTTTCCAGTCATGACCTCTCCAGAGATGTATATAAGGAGGTGAACATAACTCTGAGAATTGCCCACAAGGATCTGAAACGACGTGGAACCACCTCGCGACAGAGTACTGTAGTTTTTAAATCGTGGCTGACTATGATGCCTAAATCCAAATGAGTCTGAACTGATGGGAGTTTTATTCCCTCTAGTTCGTAGGAGCTGACGCCTCCTTGTCCGATGCGCACGGCTGCACATTTCGCTACACTGATCGAGAGCATCCATTCTCTGAACCATTGTGACAATTTTCTGAGGTCCTTTTGCAACGTGAGCGTAT